GGCATGACCCAACCGTTATACGTATGGTGTCTTATTCACACCGGACAAAAGGCTGTTAAGCACTTTGGTCAAGCGTGCATAAAACACGTCGCAAACTGACTGTTTCATACCAGCCTCATCGGTACCGATGTTCTGTGACATACCCAGGTATCGGTATGTTTCAGCCTCGGAAATGGTCCTTGAGTTGACGGGCATAGATAAGTGTATGCCCTCAGAGTTAGCAACCCTTCCCCTTTCAACATGGAGGACCGCACACTTATCCGTCCCCAGCTCCATTCTAATAGAATTGCTAAATTCACAAGTAATGTTTAGCAATTACATAAGATGGGAGCGATTGGAGGCGAATAATTTGAGGTCATCCATATAGAAAAGGTGGGTCACTTTTGTACCTCCTTGCAGAAGCTGAAATCCCCTCCCGGAGCCCTCCAGTAAAGTACTGAGAGGGTTCAAAGAGAGGCAGAATCAGATTGGACTCAGACAGTCGTCCTGGAATATACCCCTTCTTATCCTTATGCGGCTTTCCGCAACCGTCATCCGCTCGCCTAGATGACAGAGGATCGTACTCCACTGCCCCATACAATGCTCGAGGACGTCTCGAACTGTACAGTCAATCTTGTACAGCTCGAGGACCCTCTTTAACCATGTATGGGGCACCGAGTCAAATGCCTTTCTGTAATCTCGAGAAGTTCTGACGGTTGCGTTTCACCACTTTGCCAATGACCGCGTCAATGAGGAGTGGTTCCTTGGTTCCACTACCGCCGCCCCGACATCCATTTTGAGCGCGCGACATCACCTGATTTGAGTCCAGGTGACGAGTGATTTTCGCGCTCAAAATGGATGTTAGTGTCTTGTATATGGTCGGTAGACACGTGATGGGGCGGTATTCGGGTCTGTGGCAACCTGATCTTTAGGATCCAAATGAGTGATCCCAGTAGTGAAGAGGCTCGGGAGCGACTTCTGGTTGAGAGCCTCTTGGAACTGTCGGGCGAGCACAGCGTGACACATCATGAACCCCTTCAGCCAATAGTGATGCAGCCCGTCAAGCCCCGGATTTTTCTAGTTCGGGGTCCTACGGACCGCCTCAGCTACGTCATCTGGCGTTATGATGACTGGATCCATGGGCGTAATACCCGCACACTGACTCGCAACAACTTCCGTCCAAGGGCCCTCGTTGTGGTTTACAGGCTCTGACCACAGGCTGCGCCAGAATGCGACCGTGTCGGCCTGATTTGGTGCTGGGCCCGTTCCACTTACCATTGGTCGCTCCAATGATTTATAGAGCCACTTCTGATCACTCCGGAAGAGACGATTCTGGTTGAACCGTGTCGACCTCTCGGTATATCGCTGAACCCGCTTCCCCCAAGCAGCGATACTTTGCTTCAGGTGATCTATGCGCCACGTCAGTTTTTGCATTATATCCGGCTGGGACAAACCAACATTTGTTTGCAAACGCCATCCTGACGGTGCGTACAATCCTTGGCCTGGTATTGCCTGACCTGAAGCATATCAGTCTGCCGATGAGGGTCCTAGCCTTTTCGATACTTTCTTCAATTCTTATTCTCCAGGCTGGGATAGCACTACTTTGTCCAGTAGCGCGTCCAGCCGTGGTAAGTTTGCCGCCTATAATACGGAACTGCCAGTGCGGCGCCAAAAAGAATTGAGTCCGTCTCACAAAGGTCCCGGCTGGCTTCCAAATAGGTAACCAGCATTGGGTTCAGAGCCCTCACGACAGCCCGATTCCGCTTGCTTAGAGCTATGCGGGGAAGTCGCGGTCGATTTTCGAGAGGCATACTGCGCGTTTCCACAATCGCCTCTTCCAATTTACTCCTCATTTGCTCTAGTTCCAGTTCCTGGGCGACTGTTCCATCATCGTTTGAATCAACCACAACTGGGGTATTCACGGCGGCATCCACGTTTGCCGTTTGATCAGCAAGTTGTGGCGCCGCATCCTCAGCCGCAGCATTTTCACCCGATGGAGGAACAACCTCACGTCGTAACCGTTCGAGTTCGGCGCCATCAAAAGTATTTGAGCGCAAGATATACCGAACTCGGTCTGCCAGGTTTTGCTCGGTAACGATTACAGATGGCTCCAGCTCAGTAAAAAGTCGATGCATCCTTGCCCGATACGCAAAACCTCCAGTTTCTCCCCCTTTCGCCCTAAAATACGCTCGCAATGCGTTGCTGTTTATCTGGGTTGTCCAACGATTGCGGCGTACTCCATCAGTGGCGGGTGCCGATTGCTGTGCTCGCGAAGACCCTGCCGACACCAAGCCAGCTGGTGGGGATGATGGATGCGAGGGGCTGCTGGGTGGTCGTGCAGCGCCTCGCACTCGGCTGGCGGTTCGCTGCTGTCCATGCCATGCTGTCGCGTCCAGCGCCAGCTCCAGACGCGCCCTGGCGACCTCCAGGCAGCGGCCCTTTGCGCGTGCTATTTAATTCCATCATCCATTTTTGAGGGCGTCATTTAGCGGGAGACGCCCAGACCCGGTGCCGTTTCATGGTGAGGACATGTGCACAAGCGGGCCTTTGCACCTTCAATTTTTGCCGAGGCACGGCACTAACACCTCTTGGCAAGGTGCTGACTGACTGCGCTGACGTAGCGGTTTGTCACATAACCGTTACGATGGGGTCGTCACTTCCCTACGCCTATTTATTACTTTTATTGTTACGTTTTGTGTTGTAACCGACGAGCATGTATGCGTAGGTATATGGATGTGGCGAGAAAGGTATGTCAGGATCGTGCTAAATGGAAGTCTGTAGTCTCTGCCTACCCCTCTGGGTGACAGGCGTGAGTGTTTATGTATTTATGTATGTATGTTTTGTGTTTCTTGTTTTGTTTTCTTAGTGCCTAACGCGTACGTTTATAGTGCTCGTGAACACGGCAACATGTTAATGTACCTTGGAGAATCACACGGGAATGGTTCGCGTGCATTACGAATTTACTGAGAGAAATTCCCGACCGCTGAGTTTCGTCTGATAACAGCAACATTTCGGCGAGTGTTGGAAAATCGGCCTATTGCTTCGGTAGCGGCAAGAGGTGGAAGTAAAGTGGCTGTTCACTCCGAGGAGCACATTTTAGACGTCTTTCGCTGGAATCCGAACTTAGGTACACGAAGTATCGCTAAATTGCTAAGGTATCGAGATAGAACAAGTGAGTCATACTGAATAGTTCACAAGGTGTTAAAGAGTAACTGAATGCGTCCATAAAATGTGCTAAAAGTGCAAGCTTTAGTTCCTGACAATCAAGACTGCTGGTGTTTTCTGCCGTTGGTTATAAGACCAGCACAATATGAGCCACATCTCATAAGATAACGGAGGATTTAGATCGGGAAGCTATTTCATTCCTAATTTTTTTTATAACTTAGTAGTGAACTGATCTGAAAAGGTACATAACTGAATACGTCAGGATAAAACACATACCTACACGATGGATAAAAAAGCATGATTCTATCCTTGTTAAAATTTCATTTAAGTAAATTTTTCACTGGCGGGGAATCGAACCAGGTATTGGTTTATTTAACCTGTGAATTCGAATAAGGTGGCTAGGTTGAGACTAGCACAGTGGCAAAATAGTAAGTTAAGTAAGTAAGCTAGTTATTTAGACAAGATGCATTAAAATATTGTAGGGAAGTTTTACTTAGTATTATAAAATATCCTATTTTCTTAAAAACATCCGTAGAAGCTCAAGGGTAGCTGTAAATTTTACAGTATGTGGGTAGCCTGGGTTTCATCCCCGTCAGCACCAATCAAAGTAATAATTGTAAACGAGTGTGATCTTTCTCCTGTCATAACACAGCTGCAACGTGGCTTTACAACACAAAAACGTGCTTTTTAGTTTGGGATCATGATAAAGGTAGGTTCTTACTTCTGTTACAATAGTGGACTGAAAAGGTATTGTAAATTATTCGGTATTGGTACGATCGCAAGCTGAGGGCCGTAGTGTGTTGACCCTTATCAGCCGATGTTAGGTATTTGAAGTTTCACTGCTGGTTTTATGTTTAAGTATTTTCATGGTTTTTTTAAATGAAATTATAGTTTCATTTAGTTGTACTAACATGATGGAGCGTGAATAAAGCTAATTAAACGTTGTAAAAAAATGATATTTTTTTTCATCAGGATCGATTTTCCTTTTGTCCCATCATCAAAGGTATCGTTTACAAGAGCGTTTCACAAACACGCGGTATAGTATTTATAATTGTTACAAGGGTAGCGTTTATTACTGAATTTTACCTGGACTTGTCCGGGTGCTTTAGATTTAGACAACGGGAGCAGTAAATATTAGTGTCGTTTTAGCTGATTATGTGCACAAATCAATTTAATACTTTCTATTGTATAGCGTGTATGTTGTATGCTGACGACCCATCAGTAAACAGTCCGCCCTTGGATTATTGTTACCATTAGAAAGTGGAGATTAATAGTTGCTGCAGATGAAGCACGTACGGTTTAATTATTCCGTCAACTGCCAGAAATCACGTATGAAATCACACGGTATGTATATTGTATACATGTACAGATAATTTGGTTAAATTTTAACACTCCTTATATCTTCAACAATCTTAAACCTCTAAACTAATATTGAACAAGGAGAATCCCGTAAACAATAGGCACGGGAAGAAATCTAGAGGGAGGAGAGAGCACGGGAGGAATCTTTTACGTCACTATAACACGGCAAGGTAATGACTGCCTCATTGGTCTAGTAGTCGTAAACGCAGTTGTTGATCATGAGGTCCCGGATTCGAATCCCGGTTCGGGTCAAAATCAATTATTTTTGTCAAGAAATTCTCAGTAGCAGACCGAAGTCAGGACGTTGGCGGTGGCTTTAGTCCAGCGCCTGATCTCTCTCCGGTCGTGTCAGATAACTGCTCCATTGGTTTTGCGCTTACACTCGGGCACTATAATCTTGTCAGGTTGAGACTTGTCACTGTGACTGAAATTCGGTCTGTAGGACATTAAACGGCAAGCTTGTGAGCAGTTAAATTTTATAATTTTATATGACAAACCTTTTGCTGTAGTCTCTGCACCTCGTTGCGCACGTCGCGGCGTAGCTCGGCAAGCGCGGCATCGTGCGGGGAGAGTGCTGATGCGGGGGCGGTGGTGGGAGTGACGACGGGCGCGGGGGTGGAGGAGGGGGAGGAAGCCACCCCCTGCGTCAGCCGTTTCTCGTCCGACTCCTCGTCGATGGCGTCACGCCGTGCGATTGCAGCGCTCAGGACGCTTGCGGCGCGTCCCCGCGTGAATGCAGCCTACGCAATGTATTTCACTAGTCGTCAACAAATTATTTCTAGACAATACAAACTCCAAATGTTCACCTTAAGACTTATCCGTTGAAAGACACTATTAGGGATATTATTGAGGGTAATTTTGAAATCTTCTAGCGATTCTGTCGTAAGGACTTTATCCTTGGCAAATCAAATGTGAGTGAAGTATTCGCCATAAATGTTGACACGTTTCCTGTCTAGTAGCTTATTAAAACGTCTTCCAACGCAACGGTGAAGAGTTTCTAGGACAAAATGTCATCCTGTCGTGCACCTGTCTGCAGATGAATAGGTTTCGAATCTATAGTTTATTTATGAATCTAGAATCTATAATTGCGACGAGGTTCGCCACCCGTCACGTTCTGTCTCCCCGAAGGGCGAAAAGTGGATTGCTGAGGCCCATCTAGCTACGTAGAATGTATGTGGAGCAATGAATGATAAGATGTATGAAATATGCGATATGATGTATGATGTATGATAGAGGAATAGAAAGGAAAGAATGTCATACACACGCACGGTACGTATACCGCATACTGTTCTGGTGTAGACGAGATCGAGCGTGCATGCTAGGGAGTAGGTATCATCCTTTCAGAAAGAATTGGTCAATGTGTTAAAGAGTATGAATGTGTAAGCCCGAGACTGCTATGGATACGAATTAAATTAGGCTCAAAGAAGTTGTTTGTGCTAGGGGTCTACGGACCAGATATCTCTAAGTCCACTTATATCCAATAGCAGTTTTGGGAGATGGTGAGGATAGTGTTAATGCAATAAAAGGGAAATAAAAATATTGTTATGCTAGGAAATTTTAATGGAAGGTTTGGGGTGAAGAGGATTGGTTATGAAAGGATATTGGGAACGTTTGGTGATGAAAGTCTAAATGAGAATGGTGGAAGCCTCTTCACCGTATGTGTGGAAAGGAATCTCTCTGTGACGAACACTTTTTTTCATAACAAAAAGATTCACATGTAGACTTAGGAAAGAAGTGATGATAGAAGCATGATAGATTTCATAATTATTGATGAAAGAATAAGGAGCGCAGTGGTAGATACAAGGGTTTGCAGGGGGTTCAAAGTAGGACGGATCATTATTTGGTTTTATGCCGAATTAATTGTCTATTCAGACGTTGGCCAACGGGTTGGTGGCATCGAAAATCTGTACATACCACTGCTTTACAGCGTATTAGAACAGAGAGATTACAAGATAAAGGTGATAAAAACAAGTACAAATTTTATAATGATTTCTTATATTTACGCGAACACTATACATTGATTAAAACTACTTTTACGGATTTTATCGCTTTTTATTTATATTAATTTTAATACCCGACGTTTGGTCACGGGGGACTGAGGTGACGACGGTACCCGGAGTACCTTCAGCTTTTTAATTATTGTCTTTGGTCCGATATACGCAGAATGAACTAACTGTATTTTGAAGTCTTGCAGTGGTATGCTTGGGTTTAGTTTTAATTTTATTAATTATAGGATCCCAAGCAGGTGGTAGTACTCAGCCTCCTTCTCTATTGAAATTAGGATGTTTTTTAATTTCAATAGCCTCACGTATCATCCTTGGTAGGAATCGATGTTCTTTCGCGAGGATTTGTGGTCTATCAAATCTGATGTAATGGTTGGGGCCATCTAGAATATGATCGCAAACTGCAGACTTCCCGGAACGTTGATGCTTCACGTCAGCTATGTGTTCTTTTACGCGGGTTCTAATTGATCTCTTTGTTTGCCCTATATATGAGAGACCACAATCACACGCCCCTGCATCTTGTAGAGGAATATGACACTTGACGGATGGTAAGAACTGACTAATCTTCTTCGGCGGATTGTAGAATGTTCTAAAGTGTACAGTAGCCCAAAGTTGACTGAGCCATAGCTATGTATATTTTATTAAGTAAAGACTTCGTGGAGACATGTCGTAAAGACTTAAATATCCAAATAAGTTTTCTGAGCCGAGTTTCCATTAATTCTAGATGTTAATACCAAGATAGTCGTTGGTAAACCATTACTCCAAGGTACTTTATATTTGAGACTTTATTTATTTGGGAGCATTTACAACTAGAGGTTTGGACGTCCGAGTAATCGTGAATTTTAATATGAAAATCAGGTGTAGGTTGGGTGCTGTTATACATGGTAAAGCAGATATATTTAGTTTTGGTTATATTCAAGGTTAGTAGATTCTGATTGAGCCAATTTGCAACCCTAGCAAGGCCTAATTCTGCTGCTTTCCTTACGGAGTCCCATGTGTTTCCTGTAAATACAATGGCAGTGTCATCTGCATATGAAAAAAATCTGTCCATTATAAAGTTTCATATGAAATAGTTCATTAATGTATATCAAAAATAAAGTTGGACCCATCACACTTCCTTGTGGGACTCCATAGTTAACAGTTACAGTTTCACTTACAGTTGTTCCAATTTTTACCGACTGTTTTCTGTTTCTAAGATAGCTGCCAAAAAGAGATAGAGTTTTATCTCTTAAGCCAATGCTTTCTAGTCTTTTAAACATTATGGGTACGGAGACTGTATCAAAAGCTTTCTTTAGGTCCAAAAATACTGTTATACATTTTTTATTTTTATCAATTTCCTGCACAATTAATTTAGTAAGATCCCCAACAGCATCTTCAGTAGATAAACCCTGCCGAAAACCATACTGCGACTTTGAAATTAAATTATATTTATTAAGATAGCCTTGTAGTCTTTTATTTAATATTTTTTCCATAATTTTAGAAATTGACATTAATACTGATATTGGCCTATAATTAGTTACTTCATCTCTGTTACCACTCTTATATACGGGTGTGATTATAGATTTTTTAAAGACCTCCGGAAATATACCATTTTAAGCTTAAGTTTATTAAATTACTAATTGCAATGACGACAATATTTTTAGACTTCTTAAGAAAATCCGGAGGATCGGAGGATCTGTGACAGCAAACACCTGGCCGCCGAGCTTAAGCACGTCAAGCAGGTTCTGCACGACAACAAGCTTCAGGTCCCGCGCCTCCGTCACAGTGACCGAGTGAAGCCGGCCACAGTCGAGCGTATGCCTGCTATACTACCATATGTCAGAGGTGTCACAGACAAGATTGGCTACATCTTGAAGCGAGCTTCTATTAGAACATTCTGCAAGCCGCCGAAGAAGATTAGTCAGTTCTTACCATCCGTCAAGTGCCATATTCCTCTACAAGATGCAGGAGTGTACAAGCTTGATTGTGATTGTGGTCTCTCATATATAGGGCAAACAAAGAGATCAATTAGAACCCGCGTAAAAGAACACATAGCTGACGTGAAGCATCAACGTTCCGGGAAGTCTGCAGTTTGCGATCATATTCTAGATGGCCCCAACCATTACATCAGATTTGATAGACCACAAATCCTCGCAAAAGAACATCGATTCCTACCAAGGATGATACGTGAGGCTATTGAAATTAAAAAACATCCTAATTTCAATAGAGAAGGAGGGGGTACTAACCTGCTTGGGATCCTATAATTAATAAAATTAAAACTAAACCCAAGCATAGCACTGCAAGACTTCAAAATACAGTTAGTTCATTCTGCGTAGATCGGACCAAAGACAATAATTAAAAAGCTGAAGTCTTAGGGTTAACTTTGACATCGGGACATCAGTCACCTCAGTCCCCCGTGACCATGGGTGCTGGAAAGCACCCGAAACGTCGGGTATTAAAATTAATATTAATAAAATGCGATAAAATCCGTAAAAGTAGTTTTAATCAAGTACAATTTTTGACAGAAAGAAAATATAAGTGGTTTGGATGAATTGTGTATGAATAAGTTTGGCTTGGAGAATGTGTAGCAAAATGTTAAAAAAGGTTTAGTAGATGCAGCTACCGAAGTATGTGGTGTTAGTAAGAGAACAAATGAAAGGAAAAATAATACGTTATGGTGGGATGATGAGGTACGTATGGAAGTTAAACCAAAGAAGAGAGCATGGCTAGATTTACTTGCAATAAAGGCTGATAATTCTGGCGGTACGAATGATAATATTGAAAGAAAAAAGGCAGTTTTCAGATATCTAAAAAAGAGATTAAAAGAAGTAGTTGAGAAGAAAAAGCAAGAAAAAAGGGATAGAAATGATGGAAGAATATCGGATGACTTCCAGGCAAATATTACAATGTTCTGGAAACTCGTAAGAACTGCTAGGGGACATTCAATGGAATTAATACTATACAAGACGAGAATTGCTGTAATCTGAATGATGACCTTTTGAGTCTAAATAGAATGAAGGAATATTTTGAACGCATATTTATGACGAGGAGACGCGTGAACTAAATGATATAGAAATTCCGAAAGAAGATGAAAAATATAGGGAGATAAGTATAGATGAAAGCAATGAAAAACATGAAAATAGGTAAGGCAGCCGGATATGATAGAGTTTCTCTCGAAATGCTAAGGACTGGAGAGGAAGTGGTGGCAGGCCTGCTGTACACCTTGTTTAATTTATGTTGGGAACTAAAGTGGGTACCGGGAGGCTGCTGCAAAGCCGTGATAGTTCCAATATATAAGGGAAAAGGTCGCAACAGGACTGTAAAAACTACCGTGGTATCAGCCTTCTTAGCATTGTGGGAAAATTGTATGCTAAGGTACTAATTGAAAGAGTTATGAAACAAACTAATAGAAAAATTTGGGATGTGTAAGCGAGATTTAGAAAGGGAATGGGATATACAGATCAAGTTTTTCCCATGCGCATGATCGCGAAGAAGTTTTTGGTCAAAAACCAAAATGTTTTTTGTGCGTTCATGGACTTGGAAAAGCTTATGACAGAGTGGACAGGGATGTATTATGGCAAACACTGAACTCATTTGGGTTGAGTGCTGATACAGTCATTAATGCATAATAATTAATTATTAATATATAATCATAATCATGGGGAGGCTAGGTCCAAGTTACATCAATGGGTTATGTGCGGAAAGCCAAAGTCGGTCCTGTTTACCGAGAAATGTGCGAAAGCAGACGAGTTTTCAAG